CACACACACACACACACACACACACACACACACACACACACACATTACACGCACACGCGCACACATACACGCACACACATGCAGCCTCATGTTTTTACTGGGGTTCCTCACTAACAGGCCTCATTCTCCTGCAGTTTAAAGGCTCACGCTGTGTGGTCTTTAGAAGTGTTGCTACACCAGGGCAGGTTGTGGTGTGTGTGGTTCTGTGTGTGTACCGGTTTTTGTAAGTTTTAGGACCTGTTCTGGAATACACACGTGCCTGTCAGCACCAGTACAGGCATGATGCAGAGGACCATCCAGAGTGGGTTTGGGTTATGTTTAGGTCCCCCCAAAAAAAAAAAAAAAAAAAGGATTTGAGTTCAGATAGGGTTAAAGCTGAGACAGACCATTCTCACTTTCTTTGTGATCTTCTTTGCACAAGTTTTGAACATGGTTGCAAACGTTGTGCTGTAGACTTTCAGAGTAAAAGTTGTTTCTAATGTGTCTGAGGAGCGCCACCTGCACAGAGTTCTCCTCTAATGGAAAACATGTCAGTCTAAAACCCACAGCGAAGATAAATCAGCCACGTACATGTGTGTGTGTGTGCTCACCTCAAAGTGTTACAACTGTCCATCCYTCTGGAGTCTTTCAATGACTGGATGAGAGGCAGGTGCAGACTGGACAGATGACTAGTCCATCACATGGAGACAGACAAATCAAACAACCATTTATGCTCTCACTCTTAGAATTTACCAGATGGCCTAACATGCTTGTTATTGGCCCGTGGAAGACAACTAAAGAAGAAAATCCAGGGAGATTATGCAAACTGCACACCTGTAAGGAGATGCTGCAACCATTGCTGCACTGACCCCCTTAAAAGTGGGGAAAAAACCTCTTCTTGTTTCATGTGTTGTTTTCAAACATTGAAAAAAACAAAAACAAAAAACTCACCTTGTCATCATGTAAATGACATTGATCTAACCCGTCCCAGCCAAAAATTAATCTTCACATCTCTGTTTTGTTTCATCTGTACTCCAAGTAAAAACAGGACATCTCTTATTCCATCCAGCCATCCTCCACTAAATCATCACTTTTATTCCAGCTTTTATTCAAAGYCATAAAGTTTCAGCTCTCCCTTTGGATTTGAAACTGGGTGCCTGAGCTAGCTGGAGGCTTCAGAGTAGAACCCGACAGGCTTTTCTTCCTTCTGTTCTGAACAAACGAATCAACTGTTGAACATAATAAAGTGTAACTGTTACCATCCCTGGACCAGAGAACCAGTCATCGGCCAACAGTCTGCTGACGTCATTTTGGGTCCAGTAATTAGACCGGATTAGAACCCCAGGTCTTAGAGTTCTAGAAATCAGGCTGGGAGTGCACCTGGGTTTGAACCCAGACCAAGCCGGACTGAACCGGGCTGAGCCCTACATGCAGAAATGCCTTAAATGGACAGTATTATGTATTTTCCAGGCATATATTTCAGTTCTATATGAAAATTAAATATGTTACCTTTAATTGTTATGAAAATTTGTATTATATTCCATCTATGCCTTGAAATTGACATCTATTTATTTAAGAACCTACTATTTAAAGAACTGCTAAATCATTTAAAAAAAGTAATATGCAAAACAAAAACAAAAATGATCACATGCATCATATGCTGTAATTAGAAAGAATAAGACCTGATTAACATAAAAATGTGCAAGCACAATCTAAGAAACAAAATACATGAGTTGTGTCTTCCTGACACAGGAAGTGCCACACTACCTCAAAATTCAGCAAATAAATGTTTAAATATTCATGTCTGGGTAAAAACATTACATTCGTTATTAGTCATACTTATTTTAGGATGAAATTTCTCAGAGTTACTGATGTGTTTACCTGCAGAAGTTGCTCAGATAGACAACCAGAAATGGTTCACTTCAAAATACAAACTGGTTTCAAAGGAAAAGCAATGTATTAGAAGTAGCAACTTTTTAAAAATTAATTAGGTGATGAATTGAAGCAGCTCACTGATTGGTGGTTTGTTTGGACTCATGACCATTTATTCCATAACTCAAAATAATTTTGAAATATCTAAAATTTGAGAAACATACAGTCTCACAAAATCCTGATGAAAGTTTCTTCTTTTTTTCAGAGATGCTGATTTGAATTTTAGGTGAGCTTAGCTTAAAACAGGCACTGGTGCAGCTCCTTTTMTCACACACACACCCACTGCACACAGGGTGATATTAGGTGCCCTTAGGTCAGGGAGCCTAATATCACACGCATTCTTTTATCTGTGCTGCAGATTAACCAATAGCTTAATAGCCCCGCTGTAAAAGTGGATCAGGAACGAGAAGAGCAGCCATATCTCTTGACATTTCCCTAAAGGTGCCCCTCCCCCACCCCCCCTGCTATCAGACCGAATAATGCCCTCTGTGTGCGAGTTGAAGTGTCGTTAATAGTTAGGACACAGCTGAAGCAGCGTGGTGGACTTTAGATTAGCATTTTGAGGTCAGATGATAGTTTTTGCTCAAATTTCCACACTTTTGATATAGTGGAATATACTGCTGCTCTTATCCCCCCTTTTTTAAAGTGTATGTGATTGCTGGAGTGTTTGGTGCCCTTTGCTTTCTTTCTGCTTCAGATTGATCACAGCAGGACTGTGAAGGTGTGTGAAGGAGTCGACTTTTAAGACAGTTGCTCTTTGTCGAGCATCTTCTAAACCACCACGGAAACATTTTTCAGTTTTGTTATTAAATCTTCTTCAATTAAGAACTCAGACTAAAGCAGGTGAGACCTAAATCACAACCTTAGAAGACAGAATGAAATGGACAATAGCAGTTATGGTGCAGCGTCTCAGTTTAAACAGCCTCTGTTGAAGTGTTTGTGTGTGTGTGTTTACGATCTTCAGCTGGCACATTGTTTGCAGGTGTGTGTGTGTCTGTGTGTGTGTGTGTGTTGTTTTGTCTTTTTGATGTGTTCACAATTTTTCATTTGCTCTTTATTGTTGTTCTAAGGTGTGTATTTGTTTATCCTATTTAAAGGCCTAGCAGTCCTTGAAAGAATCCCCATTGCCCACCCTTTTCATTCCAGAGTTTTAAACTAAATTCATCTTATGGTGGGAAATGACTGCGGCCATTTTGGTCAAACGGAGAGAATAATTTTATGCAAAATTTTGCAATATTTTGAGYAAGTGTGTTATGAACGCCAAATTGAATTTAGCTCAGTAATTGACTGAGTGTTAATGATTTTTTTGTTGGTTAACACTGATTATCATTCAGATGTACATTAAGTTGTTTGCTGTAAGTTCTG